AATGGTGCATGGCGTGATAAGGTACTATCTTTACGTAGTGAGGTAGAGGTTTTACGCGATGACAATGGTGCTTTACGTGGTGAGGTATCTACTTTACGTGATGAGGGTAGCCGCTCTACGTGAGATTATTGCATCGTTGTAAAATGAGGTTCATACTCTACACAATAAGGTAAGTTTGTTTAATACTATATTAAAAATGTAAATAACCTTTTTTCAACATTATTTATTTGTTTATTTACTAATTTATGTATTAATTTATTTTTGGTGGCCCGATAAGGTAGATGTTTTACGTCGGGTTTTTCCTGCACGACGGAGTTCACGCATCAGACGTCGTACACGTGCCATTACGTCTCCTTTCACCCCGATACTTCCAAGACTCCGTAAGAAGAAGCCCGATTCACCTGTCATCGTTCAAGAGGCCCCCTATATTTCAAGAGGCTCATCCCACCGTTCAAGAGGCCCCTCCCACCGTTCAAGAGCCCGATTCACATGGCATATTATGTCGACATATTGATAAACCCCCTCACGTGCTCGATATGATGGATTCGAGTTGGCTTTCGTATCAGCTACCGGCCAGTACCATTCTGATATCTGAAGTGGAGAGGAGAACACTACCAGACACAAATTAAGGATAATGCCCTATGGGCTAAGATCGCAATTGATTTTATCTATATGAGTGGAGTCAGGGGTGTTACGCTGACATATGCAAACTCGACGATGATATGCATTTGTTTCTTGATCGGTCTTGGTGGGGTGTTTTATTAGGGGTTGAAGACAATGGCTATTTCGAATGGGTGGTAAGTCTTATATTCTTCTTATATTGCATTTTGATTAATTTTTTAAAATTTATTAAATTCACTAATATATGTATTTTTTTTATAAAACAACATATTGATGCATGAGTGTCACGTCTTCTGATAATAAAGAAATTGAAGAAAATAAAAAATACACGATAGACTATTATGCCTTCGTCTTTTCACGTAGCTCACTTGAAGGATCAGAGAGACACTTCATATGTGTTGGGTAATGGAAAAACTAAACTTTATCCTGTGTGGTGGGAGTTCGATAAGGTTAGTATTTTATTTTTGAATATTTTAAAGATATTCATAAATTTTATTTGATGTGCGCAATTGAATTATTATTTATGATTGCAGGTGTTTATCCATGTTGTGGAACGTCGTCATTAGCTTCTCGTCGAGCTTCAGCTCCCATCCCTGAAGACGATAGTATATGACATCATGTTGAATTACTTATCATTGTCTGATCTGAGAGATATTATTTGTAAGGGATGGAGCGCTCATTTAGATAAATACTTGGATGCGATTGATTATTGGACTAATTCTAGAAACAAGAAGCCAAAGAAGTTCAAAGTTACAATGATCAGAGACGAGACAGCACCACAACAAACGGAGGGAGCCAGAGGGGATTGTGGTCCTCTCGTATGTATGTTCTTGGAACGTTTGATGACATGAAGTAAACAGTTTCTAACTCCTACAGATAGAGATAAAGGTGTAGTAGGCTTGTGGTTTCGGCATTTTATAGATAGAGCGATATATGTGAGACGTTGCCTACTTGCATCCGCGTGCTGAAAGTGTGCATAAACAACACAAATTGGTAAGTTTGAGCAAGTGCTGTTAACATATATACTCTTTGTTTGTTTGAAAATGTTTGGTTAAGTACCTAGATAATTTGTTGTTTGTTGGTTTTAGATGTGTAGAAAGTGTTGTTTGAGCAAATGTTTGGTTTCTGCAAGTTAATCCTGAAGTGAGCTGCGTGAAACTGATGTATTTGTGCATAAACAACCAACTGTTGATTTGTTTTTTTTAGATGTGTAAATAAGAATTGTTTTTTGCTTGTTTAATTGATTTGTAAAAGTTGATTTGTTGTTTAAGAAAATTTCAATCTGCATTATGTTGAATGCAAAAAAGACCTGTTGAAGGTACACTTTCGCAACGTGAAAGTCAAATTCGTGTTGCGATTTTCGCGTTGCGAGTTTTACTTTCGCGTTTCGAATTTGATTTTCGCAACAATCGCAACGCGAATTTGACTTTCGTAACAATCACAACAAAAAATCACAACGTGAATTTGACTTTCGCGTTACGAATTCAAGGAAAACACCTTCAAAAAGATAACAGACAACAATCTGATAAGTGATAACAATTGAACATATCATAGCAATATTCAAACTCAAGTTACTAATGAATGTCTAACTAAAAATATATTCATTCACACATAAAATACACATAATACAACGTTTGCATTTAAAAATCACCTAAGTTAATAAGTCCTAAAAAGTGAAGCCGGTTGTGATTGAAATTTTGATTTTGATTGTGATTTTGATTTCCATTTGCTTGGCACCATATGAGCTTTGAATTTTGATTAGGATCCATATTTTGGTAGAGGAAAAGATTATTGTGATGACACTGGTGATCCACAGGTCAACCTTGTATGACCACTTTTCTTGCACCGACTACATGTCGATATCCTTTTCTCTTCACCCTTAGATGGTATACGATCGTGATTTTTTGGTCAGCCAGGTAGTCTGTTGTCCATGTATGGTGGCAAAACTGTTTGTAAGTCATCTGGTATGTCCCACTCAGAAGGATATGGAATAGGGTAGACAATCTCGGCATAAGTCTGTCGATATACTTCTGTAGTGTAGCAATTCATAGCGTATGCGCTTAAATCATCTTGGTTTAGATGAAGAGCAACTTTTATAACATGGCCACACGGATAATCAGATGTTTGTCATTTCATACAACTACACGTCTTTGCATTTAGATCGACAAGCCCATTTAAGTTATTATCCAATACTTCAAACAAAGTGTTTGAACATGGTTCAACTCTCCATGACGTTGACTTCATAACACGTTTCGTTATCTTTTTTTTAGTCCATGGTGTAACACGACGTTCCAATGTTCCTGTAAATTTAAATAAATAATACTTAGTAAAATATAAATATGATAAGTTACGAATTTAAAGAAATAATACATGCATGGTTTATTTTCTTGTAGTACCACTGTTGAATAGAGGCTCGAAAAAACTCCATTAACATAGTAATGGGTAATTTCCAGGAATGACGACTTAGAGAGTTGATTGATTATGCACTATTAGACGTCATGAAACCATATCTTGCTCCAAGTTGATGTACTCTTGACCATCTTTCAAACCCGACATCTTCTAGTGTTTGAGTACATTGAGGCAAAACACGTCTTAAACAATTTATATGCTTATTAAATCCACTTCCCGATAAGTTTTTACAGCCTTCCAGTATGTCCATTTGTGATTTTTTATACCAGCATACCTTGATTTTAGATTTCTGTACAAATGAACACCACAAAGTCCATGAAAAACATCTAGGAAACACATTCTAACAACGTTGTCAATTGAGTTTGCCCTATCGAATATGATTGTCAGATTGCTACTAGGATCTATGCAATCTCTAAGATACCCCATAAACCATGTCCATGAATCAGAGGTTTCATATTTGCCAACCCCGTAAGCTATTGGCAGTTTCCCATTGTTAGCATCCATGGCTACTCCTAATAAGTTTACTCCAATGTATCGACCTTTCAAATGTGCTCCATCAACTATAATAATTTGGCGCATGCAAGTAATAAACGAACGAATCTACAAAATAATATACACAAGAAATATAATCATTTAAATGTGAAATGCATGTAACTAACAAAAATGAGTCAACAAAATTATATTGATTTACTAACCGCAGCACCAATGGCGATAAACAACAACTCAAAGCGTCCATCTCTATCTGTTTTGATATAAGTTACCGACCCATGATTTTTTAGATTTAAATTGTGACAATAAGCCGACAGTTGGGCAAACGATGCTTTTGGAGACCTCCTCAACAATTCCAATGCATAACATTTGGCTCTCCAAGCTTGAGAATATGAGATACTAATCTTGAACTGCTCATTCATGTCAGTCATAATTTCATGTCCCCGATATACCCTGCCATTCAAAAACATTAACTCAGCCAGAAAACCACCCAACACCTTTTTGTTTTCCTGTCTATGGTGAGGAAAAACTTGGGTTATTGAACATGTACGTTTATCAATAAAAGTCCTAACTTGAAACATTTCACAATCTTTTATCCTCTTTACAATCATTCGCCACGTACAGTTTTTGTCAATCATACACTTTGTTTCGAAACGATCTTTGCTTGATTTGTTAACTTTTAGTTGATAGCCATCTTCCACACATTTCGTATACAAAACTATCTTCAAGTCTTCCTTTGTATCAAAACAATCATCTTTCTTGATACAAATAACTTTTGTGTAATAATCAACTGCTATCTTTACCAACTCTTCTTTCGGTATCTGAAGTAATTCTGGCATATTCCAGTTATACTCCCGTGTCATTTTCTTCTTTTTCTTTTCTTCGGGGACTTCTTCTTCTTTTTTTATTTTTTTAGGGTTATATGAATTACAGAATGGATGTTCAACATGTTCATTCACAGTCGTAACTTCCTCCTCATTATTATCAACAACATCTTCCTCGGCAGCGGCTGTTTCATCATCAAAATTCGGGTATTGACCAATATCAAAATCATTACACGCAGTGTCTGTTTCTTCTTCTGAAAAATCATCAAAATCTGAGTATAGACCAAGATCAAAGTCCGGGTATTGACCAAGATCAAATTTCGAATACTGACTAGTACTCATAATTTTTTTTGTTAGCTCATAATCGTCTAACTGATTAATACGAAAACCAGAATTTGGTGCTGAAAGTTGATTGAGATTTGGATTATGAAAAGGTTGTGGGTTTTGAGATTGTGTTTGGTATTGGAAATGTGGTGAAACAAAATTTTCTTGGTGATGAAATTATGGTGGAACCATTAAATTTTGAGGTTGATAACAACGTTGTACATTGTGAGCACCATAAACTGGGGTTGAAGAACTTAGTTGATTACTACCCACTACTGACTCAACTTCACTACTTCTAGGGTTCAACAACATACAATGTAACACCATCTTGAAGCTACTAAAAGGCGAGAGAGACGAGCAGCGGCTCGCTGGCTTGCTTCTCGTCACCAAGTTCACTAAAAGTGACGATCTTGTTTCCCTTAAAGCTATCTACGATGCTGTTGGACCTCACTTTTTGGACCGCCTCTTAAGGACCGGTATTGGTTTATGCTTTTTATCTGATTTTTTCAATTCTATTTTATGCTTAAATTTACTCTCTTTTGTTTGTTTGGTTAAAAAAGGGTTAGGCAAAGGTGTGGTGAGTAGTGGTAATGGTGAAAACCGAGATGCCTATTAGCAGCTGTCGGTTACGGTTCTATCTGCGTTTTGTTAAGTTCTTGAGATTGCTTCTTCAAAAGAAATGGTATCAAAGATTCCAATGGTTTTGGAAGTAATGTCAAAGGAGTAAGCTTTTTATCCACATTCCTCTTTATAGAGTAATTTAGATATATTCTGTACAAAAATATGAATTCTAGCTTTGACTAAGCTGATTTTTTATTCTAAGTTTGCTTGTTCTATATATATATATATATTTGAATGCAGATCAGGCTTACCTGTGCTGGAAGAAAGCTATGAATTTTTGTACTTGGTGTCAGCTGCTTCTGAGGATGGGATAACCGCAGTGTACGAGTGTGGAGGGATGACTTCACTTGCTGGTCAAATGTCCGCTTTGTCAGATGGTAGCTTATTTATATACTCAAATTTCTAGAATTTGGCACTTCCAGGGCCTTATATCATGACAGTCTACATCATGATGATAGCTGGAAGCTTTAAATTGGAGAGAATTTATTGTTTTGTATTGTGTTTTTGTGTGTAACTTTTTTGGGTACTTGGCATAATTAATTATACAGTGTTACGGATTTGCAAGTCGAATTTTACTGTCTATGAAGAAAATGTTTAGCATTTGAACTTGTTGCAGGGTCTCATTTGATGGAACTTGCCATGAAGGTTTTACAAATGATGCTAAAGAAGCTTTCTCAAGGCATCATTGAAAATGACCATCTTTCTGAGTTATCAATCGTTGTAAGTCTAGATGTTTTGGTAGCCGTTAAGCTTTTTCTCCTCAATCTTTAGTTCACAAACATCATATTCTGATCATTTTCATCATTTCCATGGCAATTTAGGTGGCAGAAGTAGCAAGACAATTTGCTCTCCTACAAAGTGCCTTAAAGTTTGAAGCACTTCACTTATTGTCTGCCATCTTCTCTTCAGAATATTCGGTATGCCCTTGCCCTCCTCCTTTTCCTATCTAAGAAGTTATTGCTTTGGATAGTTAATTCTTAGGAACCATCTTACTTAAGATTGATCAGATTTTCACTGTTAGACATTACTTCATGATGCACTCCGTGTTATTCCAAATGAGAACTGGTCAAATCATATACGTGATGGTGTTGCAAAAATTTTACAGAACCGTGTTGGCATGTTGAACTAAATTTGTTCTATCCCTTCCTGATCAAAATTTTCAGTTTTGATCAGTGAAACTCACTGGTATATATGTTTTTGTTATTTTAATACAGCACCTGCTGAAAATTTTGAGGCCCTTATTCTAGCTGAATCCATGGTATCTATAAAGGGTGAAGGTTGGTTGATTGGTCAGATAAACTTGCCTAATGTACAGGTCCCTATTCCAGCTGACAGGTAAAGGAGTGATTGTTTAGATTTCTTGGTTCTTCTAATGCTACATTAATTTTTTGGGACGGTTTATTATTTAGAAATTTATTTCTCAGGTGTCTATTGCTTGTCTTGGAGTCTTCAAGGGTTGAAGTTACTGTTTTGCTGAATGATCTAGCCTACACAAAATATGCAGCTTCTAAGAGTTCTTCTTCATCAACAGCTGAAACTATAATTTCAAAGCAACAGAAAGTGACTACTGTCTTTTCCTTGGTGGAGAAGATAATAAAACTGATATCAAACATTGGTGAAACTGAAGGCATGTTAACAATTCCTAGATATACTAGTGTGGCTGTGCTGCATTGCTTATTATACTGTTTTGTTTTTCTACCTTCAAAACTTTTTTTCAATTTGTTGCAAGGGTGCTTGTTATTTTTCGGTATGTACTTTATAAGCTGTTTATTTAAGGAATTTAATGAGGAAACTCAATCACAGGGAACCCTATTGATGAAAGTACTTTCATAAAGGTGATCAATGGGCTTAATGAGACAATTGGTGTGGTTCTTGAATATCTAGAAGATGCGAAGGTATGATTAGAAATATGATACTAATAATTCTTTCACCTCTTTTATTTACAGTTAACATTTTCAGGAACATGGGCAAAAAGTAGGAAATGATCTTCTCGCTTCAGTACGTCTTGTTGGGAGGTATTTTTTATGCCATCTTATTCAAAGTATTAACGTCATTTCCCTTTATATATTTAGGTGTACATGAACATTATAAAGCACTGTATGCTGATTTTTTGCACCTAGAGTGATTCTTTTGTTGAGCTGATTTTTGTGTTTGTTTTAGCTATCTTGCAGAAACACCCATTGCATGCAAAGATAAAATCGAGGAACTTTTGGGGTATATGCTTTCAGTTGAAGGTGAAGATGATTCAAGGTACGGCAAGTTAATGCTGTAGTTTATTGATGATTTGATAAGTATGTCTTTTGTTTCGTTTTTGTAGCTTGTGACCAACTTTTCTGAATATTTTTGCTAATTAACTTTGATGCAGTCCATTTTACTCTCTATGCTTTCTGCTACCAATGTTGTGTCAAATGACTTTGGAAATTGAAGGATGCAAACTTTTGGCCTCTTCTGGAGGTTATAAAGCTGTAAGTATATCTTTCCGATACGAATGCAACCTATATATGAGCTGCTGTTGTCATACGTGGCGTAAACTTCTTATTATCATGTGAAAATATTGGTTTCAATGCAGGTTGTGGACTGCCTCATAAAGTTGATAAAGCAGAACAGACATGGGGTTGAGGATAATGATTGTGTTTTCTTGGCGTGTGATACAATTTTGAATTTTCTTTTAAAGGTGGCGGTTGTTATCATGTTTTCGTAAAATACTTCATTTGTGTAATGTATTGACTCCTATTCTTTTATCAACAGAGAGAGCGATTTCCCTTTCCAGAGGATGAATCAACATTTTTTAATCTTTTGAAGGCACTGGCACTTTGGACAGGTACTGTTTCAATCATTTCTTTGAGTCAATGCCTTGACTTGACACTTGAAGGAAATACTATGAAAGTGATAACTGATAAATTATTTGATTACTTTCAGTGTAGAATTTTCATGGAATATCATTTGCTTTTTACTTCATTTAACTTGTACTCTAGCATTTAACACATATTCTTAAGCAATTGCTGAATTTTGCAGAGAAAACTAATGACCAATCTATTGTCATGATGGCTTCAAGTATTTGCTCACTGATATTTGATTTGACATCCGAAAATGATCTTTTGAATCATCCTGGTTTTAGTATCAGCTGTCTTGATAGCCTGTCACGGCTCGTTGCAAGAAGCTTGGCTTCATGGGGACAGGTAAAAGCCGATGCTATGTTCATCTGTGTGTATATTTGTTTCATAAGTTGTGGAACTAATATTTTTCCTTCTCATTATTGTAGGGTATGTCTGATGTTGCTAAAGCAGACATGGATCTTCTAGAGATTGTTACTGCAGGTTTGTCCTTTCCGAGGGTGTATATATATAAATGTAAACCTTATAATTACTTTAAGATCATTTTCGAACTGGCTTCATGCATGCTATGTTTTGATCCTGATGCAGGATATTCTCGATGGGCTGATCGATTCCCTCAAATACGAAAAGCAGTTGAGGAATAATTCAATTGACGTAGCCACTTATTAGTTTCCTTGAAGGTATATGTTATCTGGGTAATTTACTTCTCCTGGTAAGTATCAGGCATTGTTGAACTGTGTGTCCATGGATCTTTACCCTGATGCCGTGCACCTTAAATGACACTGACGGATGAGAATCAATCTAAAAGAACAGCAGAGGGAATCTATACTTTTATCTTCTTTACTCGAGACGCTTGTTGATGTGTGTTCGGGAAAAAGAACCCAGCTGGCCAACGAAACAGAGAAACTTTTTTTTAACCATGGGGAAGTGGTCCTTGGAAACCCCTTTTAATGTAACTGCCTAATTTCTTGATTTACATTTGCAAGCAATCAATGTAACATAGTACCATATTTAACAAAGCGTGCACGGATGGTATGGTTCGGTTTGGCCGAAATGATAATTTGTCTTTGTATTTTCTAAAAGTTTTGGCATCGAATGTGACGTTTTGAAGTTCATCGACTAATGCTGTCCCCCATTTTCAATTTGTAAATTGACTGCTGCTACAATCTCGTTTCTGATATATGTTTGAGGTATCAAAATGGAAATACGGCCATTTTCGGTTGAAGATTTTGACTATTCTAATAAGCTCTTGGTCAACACTGAAAACATGATGAATTACAGCTAAAAAAGTTCAATTAATCCCAACAGTTGCTTAAACTGAATAATATACGACTAGTACTTGGTTTAAGAAAGAGAGTATATTTCACACAACGACTTTCTTTATCCGCCTCCGTTATAGGCTGTTTCCGCCAGTTCCTTGAGCCGCTCCACCACATACACAGAGCGTTCTTTACTAAAAAGAAAAACAGAGTGAAAATGGGGTGTAGGAACACCTTCTACACCTTAATCGTAACATTCTCAGTAGCTCTAATCACCTACAACATCCTAATCTCAGCCAACGCTTCTCTAAAGCAAGAGCTTCCCGGTCCTTCAAGATCATCGAATTCTGACTCATTAATCAAGATGATGTCTCATGTGTCAAATTCAAAGAAGAGGTTGTTTCACACTGCCGTGACAGCTTCCGAATCGGTTTACAACACTTGGCAGTGCCGGATCATGTACTACTGGTTCAAGCAGCATAAGGAATGGACCCAATTCAGATATGGGTGGGTTTACTCGGATATTGCACTCGGGTAAACCCGACAAGTACATGGACGAGATCCCCACTTTCATTGCTCAGTCTTTACCAGCTGGAATGGATCAGGTAATTTCAATTTGCTATTGATGGGGCTTAGTCCATAGATTTCAATTAGAATAAAAAAAAGGGCATGGAATTTGGGTAATATATGTTCTTGATATATCTAACTGTATGTATTATGCTGATCACAGGGTTATATAGTCCTAAACAGACCTTGGGCGTTTGTGCAATGGCACCAACAGGCAGGCATAAAAAGAAGAGTATGAGAATTCTGATGTTGTTATCTATCTTGAATCTCTATGTCTTTCATCTTTGATTGATTTTTGTGAATCCCATTATGTACATATATCCAGTTATATATTGATGGCAGAGCCAGATCATATCATTGTCAAGCCGATACCGAATTTATCGAAAGCTGGTCACGGCCGCTGCGTTTCCTTTCTTTTATATAGAACCTAAAAAGTATGAGTCGGTTTGGAGAAAGTACTTCCCTGAGGACAAGGGTCCGATAACCAACATCGGCCCCATAGGAAATTCTCCTGTCATTATTGCTAAGGTATGAATTTTGGGTGTTGCTTAGTTACAATAGAAGCATTTTCCTTGTCTTGATCTTTCTTTGAACATTATTTAGGATTCCCTAAAAAAAATGCTCCAACTTGGATGAATGTCTCGTTGGCAATGAAGAAAGATCCCGAGACAGATAAAGCTTTTGGTTGGGTGCTTGAAATGTGAGTTTTATCTACTTTTAACTTCTTGTTTAGGGTTTTCCTCGAGTTAATTTCCTTGTTTTGTACTTGTAGGTACGCCTATGCGGTTTCCTCTGCCTTGCATGGTGTTGGTAACATCTTGCATAAAGATTTCATGATCCAGGTTTGATGGGATTGTCATTCGTTTTTAACCATAATATCTTCTTCACACGGTACAAGATGCCAATTTTATCACCTTGTTACCTATAGCTAGCATATTCGATAGATATCACCTTTTAGTTTAGGTCCCGCTTATGTTATACTCCGAAGAGCAAGCCTAGGTGAATGTTAGGATGAGTTTTGTTTGCAAAGCAGATTGGAGTTCTTCAACTTGTCTCTGTTGTCAATAGGGACTTTTCTCCTTCATACTATTGTTATATATAATATTATGGAATTCTGATTAAATTCGGAAAATAGGGCTATGTTCCGGGGTTCTGGAATTCATCTGAAATTTCAATTATCGGTATAAAGATTTTTTCCCGTATACTTCTTACTAGAACTTGTCTGTTATGTGGCATGTTATGAGCCTCCTTGGGATACAGAAGTTGGTGACAAGCTCATCATCCATTTCACTTATGGATGTGACTATGATTTGAAGGTAACCTATTTTCTGAACCAATTATCTAGATTCAGTTGAATGAAAATGCTTTACCCTGGAGTATTAGTTTCCAAGTCGGAAGAAAAAAAAGTGTTTTCGTTTGCTTATAATGGTATCTCTTCTTCCCTGATTTCAGGGTAAGTTGACCTATGGAAAGATCGGAGAATGGAGGTTCGATAAAAGAAGTTTCACTACTGCAGAACCGCCAAGAAACCTTCCCCTGCCTCCTCCCGGTGTTCCGCAAAGTGTGGTATGTTCTATCATTCATCCTTCTATAGTAATGCATGCTAAGCTAAAATGGAACATTTAATAAATATGAAACTATATAGTTAGGCTATGGACTAAGATTTTGATTACTCTCTTTTCTCCGACATCATACAATGTTGTAATGAAATTACGTCGTGGCAGGTAACTCTGGTGAGAATGGTCAATGAAGCCACATCAAACATTCCAAACTGGGGCTCCTAGAAGATAAAAGCTTTTGGACGATTCAACGAACACACTCGACAAACATATAGGGTTTTGGTTATAGTTAAGGTCGACAACGAGTTGGATATTTACGGTTTCTATAGAATCTAAATCCGAATTTACAAATCTGTTTTATCTTTCACATTTAATCCAATGATTACTATTTGAATTCGAATTAGAACTAAGTTATAGTTGTGTTGATTCAGCTGGTTTGGTTTCATTAATTGAAGCTTTCTGAGTTGAGAACCGGAGATCGTTTCAGTTCTTAGCTGTTGAACTTTTCTTACCGTCTAATTCTGGTTTGTCTCTCTATTTATGCTGAAATTCAATCTTTTCATTTTAATTTGGCATAATTTGAACTCTATACGCATATATATATATATAAACAGCAAAAGCTCCTATAACAAAACATGAGTAACAGTGTACAGTCAATACAATATTCCCCTTGTACTCCTACTGTATTAACTAAACCTCCATTTGATACAAAGCCGATTACTTGCATCATTATCTCTATTACAACAAGCATTATATGGTCGAATGCTAAATTAGTCCTTAATCCAGTAATTATTGTTAAGTCATGCGTTGATGTCCGAATTTTCTATTATTTTAACTTGATTTCTTTTCTAATAAAATTTTATATATACTTGATTGGATTTTCATGATTAAATAATAATAAAATAAATAAATTTATGTCATAGCTTTAGCATAAATAATTACGTTATCAGTTTGGATTTCTTAATAATGGTATAAAATTAACGAAACTAAATCAAAATACATGAGTTAAATTTGAACTTTTTATCAAAGTAGAGGTTCTAAACCCGAACCAGAGCCATGGGAAAATACTAAGAACAACAACAATTAGACCAAAAAAATATTTTATCATAGTAGAGGGACTGAAACAGAAATTAGAACGAATCTTATTTTCATAGGGTGTATTCTTATCGAGGCCCATAGATTTATTCATCATTAGGCCTTCTGGACTCGAAATTTGAGTATATGTCGTTCAATTCTTTTTGCAGCGTCGTTTTGTTGCATACAGACCGACCACCGCGGCGCGAGATCATCTTTCCTTCGAATCTTCGATCCTCAAGTCATCGAATCTTTTTGTTGCCTCAGGTCTTCATTTCTACTTTTAATCCCTTTCCCCAAACACTGAAGAACCTCAGCCGACAACCATGGCTTCCTTTACCTCCCTGAAAAGTTCCTCACCGTTGATCCACCGTCTCTCCTTGATCCATCAACGGCTCCAAATCCGTCAATCCTCCTCGTTGCCGCTGATCAATTCTTCAAACATCAAATCTAATGATAAAGAGGACTCCGTTTCCAGCTCTTTTCTGAAATGGATCTCGACGATCGCAATTGGTTCGAGCTTAGGCTTAGTTTGCTGGTATTCTGTTTCAGCTTCCGATTCGAGTTCTGGTTTTTTCAATAAACGTTTTTTGTCTTTCGCTGATTGGTCCAAGGAAACTGCTGGATCTGCTGTTGACGGTTCAGAAAACGCATTTCGTAAACTATCACTCCCTAGCTATAGCTCTAAGTTCATTTTCGGAGGTTATTAATCTCTTCTAATTTCTCTTTATTTTTTTTAATCAATAGCGAAATATCTGCGGGCGTTTTAGCTTTTAGATTGATTGTGTTCTTGTTTTTCGTTGCAGAGGAGTATAGAAGAAAGGTTTTCTTTAACTATGAGAAGCGGTTAAGATTGCGGAGTCCACCTGAGAAGGTAAATATTTTTGAGTTACTTGCGTTAAATATCCAAGGTAGGAATAATTTCTAAAATGAAATTTAGTCCTTATAATAATAAGTTTAAATGGACAATATTTTTAGTTTATTGCATTTAGATTGTAAAGAATTGAAGGATCTGAATTTTGTTCTTCCAGTCCTTAATTCTTTTGGATTCGTAGTTTACTCTTTGCAACTCTTTGGATTGAGTTTCTAATATTTACTTTTTGTTGAAAATGGTATCTTATGAATATTTTGTTGTTTATTCTGTGTCAGGACTTTATAGTATCTACTGCATCTTTATGCTTACAGGTTTTTGAGTATTTTGCCTCAGTTCGAACTTCAGAAGGAGAATTACTCATGACACCGGCTGATCTAATGCGGGCAGTTGTACCTGTTTTTCCTCCTTCTGAATCCCACCTTGTTCGAGATGGATATTTGACAGGGGAAAGGAGTCCGGGCGAGCTACACTGTGATCCTTCGGAACTTTTCATGCTTTTTGATACGGACACTGATGGACACATCTCTTTCAAGGAGTAAGCTGCCTGTATCTCAGAATTTAGTTAGATTATTTGTGTACGTTTGCTTCTTTATTTGGATGATACAAACTCTGAACAGTTTATTTGTAACAGGTATATATTTTTCATAACATTACTGAGCATCCCCGAGTCAAGTTTTTCCATAGCGTTCAAAATGTTTGATACAGACAACAATAAGTTAGTATTTCTATATCCATTGACAAACAATTTTGAGCCAGTCGTACCCTTTTATCTTAACAAGTTAGTAATATTGACTTAAATATATCTATATAGGGAGATTGATAAGGAAGAATTTAAGAAAGTGATGGCTTTGATGCGAGCTAATAACAGACAAGGGGCAGTCCACAGGGATGGGCTTCGCACTGGGTTAAAAGTTACTGGTTCTGTGGAAGACGGAGGTCTGGTTGAGTACTTCTTTGGAAAAGATGGAAATGCACGCCTTCAACATGGTAAATTTGTTGAATTCATGCGAATGTTGCAGGATGAGGTGAGCCCTTTTCTTCCAAGTTAACAAAATCGAAGTCATTTTCATAATTTCTTTGTTTCTTACTCTGCCTGTTATTGGTGTAATTTTAAGAAAAAAAAATTGCTTATGCTAATCGTGGATGTTTTATGGTATTCTTGGCATGAGACTGTAGTGCATTGCCTAAAGTTTCGACAAACTTGGACCATTTTCTTGTAGCTTGAGTGATAGGTGTTAAGATTGAGCCAAAAATCATCTTTGTTTTGATGGTTGAAGGAGTTGATTTTGTAATCAAATTGAAAGGTATTCTTTAACGTGTTGTATGCTTGTAATGCACGGAAAATTGTGCTGAATTTCTGCTCTTATCTTAGGCTTTTCACCTTTTTACTGTCTTTTTGGTTTCTCTCCCGCACCAACAAATTTTGATGATTGTCATGGTTAATGTCTATTGTATTCTGTAGATGCTGAGATTGGAGTTTGATCATTATGACTACAAGGCCCGAGGAAGCATATCAGCCAAGGATTTTGCTTTATCGATGGTTGCTTCTGCTGATATGAGTCATTTAGATAGGTTACTTGAGCGGGTTGATGAACTAAACAATGAGCTAAATCTTCGGGAGATTCGGATCAACTTGGATGAATTCAAACATTTTGCTAAGCTACGTAGAAAATTGCAGCCATTTTCGTTGGCTGTTTTCAGTTATGGGAAAATTAATGGTCTACTGACAAAGGATGACTTCAAACGAGCAGCATCTCACGTAAGTCGCATTACTTATGATTTATGATTTCTTCTGTGACCTGTTATAACTTGTCGATAGATAGTTATCAAATTTTTAAAAAGTGATTGAATTAATGGCATTCTGTGGGGCGTGAGTCGTGTTAGTGATTGCCAAATACCAGACTTTTCACAGAAATCGTCATGATGAATTGAACTTATACATATACAGGTCTGCGGCATATCACTTACAGACAACATTGTCGAGATCATCTTCCATGTGTTTGACACCAATCGTGACGGGCATTTAAGCTCAGATGAGTTCGTTAGAGTTTTACTTAAACGAGAACGGGACATTGCTCAACCTGTCGAGTCAGGAATACTTGGACTTCTATCTTGTTGCTGGCACTGTTCAAAAAATAGCTCCATTGGGCAAGTGATCACCTAATCTATCTCCATATAACCTAAATGGTTGAAACCATTCTATCTGTCGTTGTCGGCTGGACTTGATACTTGCGAGTTGAAGCTGGGAAATTAGCTCACAGTGCTATATAGTGGGTTAGTTAACCTTGCGGCTATGTCCGATCTCCTAACCGCATTGTGCCGGTCATTAACTGATCTGGGTACATCTGCAGAAAGATCTAGTGATTGATATCTCTTTGACATTAGAAGCAGATGCAAAATCACGGTAAGATGTTGGTGCGAGTTAGTTTTTATGTTCTACATTACCTGGATATGTTACTGAATACTTATAACCCCGTTTTGGGTTCCCTTTATGTATATGTTAATGTAGACCATGGAACCGGATACTTGTCCTCCTTCATATGTATTTGGATGAACCCCAATAGAAGAAATTTGCTTGTCTGAATTGAGACATATCCGGCTCAATTTAGTTTATTTAAAAACACATTTGATTGAAATAGTAATATGATCTAAATTCGTCCAAAAGCTGCTTAAAATTTTCAATTTTCCCAAGAAAGATGAAAAAGAAATGGAAACTTGTTGTTTCTTCGGGTTACCGTTCTCCTTTGAATACTTGTTCTCGTCTCAGTTTTGGAAGGACCATTTTTCAGTCATCCTTTGTTCTCGTGTATTTTGTTTTTCTCTTTCTAGGTTATGGTTGAAGAGTATGGAAATTACATCATTGTGTGATGCAAGATTTCTCCTTGAAGATCCCACAGAATCATCCCCTTCAAGAGGTCTGATACCATCTCGAACGGATAACAGAGAGGTCGCCTCTCGAACCACGTGCATGTTCACCCACATTATCTATCAATACTCGACTCCTGCTATTAACAACTTGGAGGATCAAAAGAGCAAGTAATTCTCTTCACAAGAGGAGAGACGGTACTCTAGTCTATCATCCAAATCATCAATAGATGCCATTGTAATTTTTATCCAAATTAAAAAATCATCATCTTCTAATATTGTACATAATCTTGAAGAATCGGAGTGTAAGGTTGGATTCATTGCAGCCTGTTGTTTTCCCAAACATGACTAGGTTCATCGTCGTTATACTTTTTAAAACGAGATCATTTACTTCATATAAAAATTAGACTTATTGAATTAATTTTCCCTCGGAATCTTTTACCTAAAGAAATAGCAATAGATTCACATAGTTAATTAAGATACAAACAAAATCCTTGTATTAAATTACGGAAGTATTATTATATAATGTATGGATTAGTTATTTTAAACTAAATCCTAAAAGTACGGAAATTACAAACTCATCCACTCGAAACATCGCGCAACCTTTTTCAGAGAGAGAGAGAGAGAGTCCCAATCCTCCTATTTGAAAAATGTCTCTTTTCCTTTATACTTTGCCATGACTCCTCCATTACATATTCAGTTACTATAAAATAGAGAGAGAGAGAGAGAATATTATTTGAAATCTTTTCTTTTCATTTTGCATCCAAAAACCTCTAAAATATTTCTGAATCTGCATCCAGTTTCGTGGGAAAGAAAATTGGGGCTTTCGCTCGATTCTCGATGGAGAAAATCAGAAGAGCCTCGCATGCAGGATCTTGGTACACTGATAACCGTAAGTCGTTTATTTCTCTCTCGTGCTTCCATCGAAACCCTAACAATCTTCACAATCTAGTTTCGGTTCTGGATTTATCTTATCAATTAAAGGAGTGTTATGTGTGCAACAAAATTAATCATCAGTTAGATAGAGCTTCAAGAGATGAAAAATTCGATAGTTTAAGTGTTGAATTAGGGTATTTTTCAATGCACTTATCTTATGAAGCTTAAAAGATTAGTAAATTCGACCTATATTTGAGAATTTGATCAACGAAATGGCTTGCCTGTTTTTCTTGGCTATGCGGTATTGCTTTGTTCTTAAATTGTTACACTGCTGATTCTCATATTGCTTTCTATATTGCATATATTCTTTTGTCAGCACAAAAGTTAGCAGAAGAGCTTGATGGATGGATTAGGGCAGCTGGCTTACCTAAATCTTCTGATGTAAGAGGTGTAATTGCTCCGTAAGTTTGTCATGTCACCTCATTAAACGTATCTCTTCTGACATAAGCTAAAATTTTAATGCACTGTGTTGATTTGTTTGAATGGTGGTTTGGGAATTCAGGCATGCGGGTTATTCATATTCAGGTCGTGCTGCTGCATACGCTTTTGGAAACATTGACCCAACAAACATGTGTGCCTTTTATCATATTTCTCCCTTTTAATTGCAATAGATTAATATTGCAATTTATCTCAATTCTCAGAAAATATCTTCTCTCATAGTTTGAGCCAAATTTTGTTCAATTATAATGTAATGAGTAGAACTGATCTCTATCTGAATTTATAGTAATTAAACATAGGATTAACTGCTTCATTGGCTTTATTCGTTTCCAAACTTATTGACGTGAGAAAATTTACAATTGCAGCACGTGGGTATTCCTTCTTGGTCCATCTCACCATTATTACACTCCAAAATGTGCTCTCTCGACAGCTACAGTTTACCAGACACCAATAGGGGAGTTACCTATTGATTTGGAAGGTAAAGTGTTGTTTATTTCTGTTTGTATCGAATCCCCTTTTTTCTGGCTTATTGGTCAGATTAGCTTTGTTGATAACTTCAGCATGTTTTCTTTTATGTTAGTTGCAGCTGATTGACTATGGTTTTTGGTTTTATGTGTTGTTTTATTTTCTCCGAGTTGAGATGAATAGCTTGTGAATTGGCTTTCTGTTCTTTGAAATATTTTATATATTTCTTTCTTCTAACTTTTTATCCTAAAGCATTGTCGTCCTCTATGTGTTTTAATGGTTCTTCATACTGAACTTAAGCTGTGTCATATTTGTTTAATTTTTCAGTTATTGAAGAACTGAAAGCCACAGGAAAATTTGAATCAATGAATCTCCGAGTAGATGAAACTGAGCATAGCATGGAAATGCACTTGCCATATCTTTCAAAAGTGTTCGAGGGGTAAACTTTTTTTCCCCTTTTATTCAAAGAGGTTCTACACTTGTTTATAGTTTAAGCTGATTTGGGTGATCACGATATAGGCATCCAGTGAGAATCGTACCTATTTTGGTTGGTGCTCTTAGCGATGAAAATGAAGCAATGTACGGAAATTTGTTGGCTAAGTATATTGACGATCCTCATAATTTCTTCTCCATCTCATCAGATTTTTGTCACTGGGGTTCTCGGTAATGTTTAATTCAATCTCTTGTTCCTTGTAACTTTCATCTTCATTAACTGCGATGCACATGCATCTAGACTGATATCGGTTATGGGTTTTCTACGTTAACTTTTGCTTTTGGTACCAGGTTCAATTATATGCATTATGACAAGAAGTACGGGGCCATACACAAATCAATCGAGGCCTTGGACAAGATGGGTATGGATATAATAGAAACAGGAGATGCAGATGCATTCAAACAATATTTATTGGAGTATGACAACACAATCTGCGGACGTCATCCGATCAGTGTTTTTCTTCACGTAAGTTTCGTCAAGCTTTTCTTTAAACCCAAGATTCCATCCCCTTTAAAATCCGCCCATATACGTATTCGCAGTGTGGTTCTTTGAGTTATTGAACTTTACTTATGTCTGTTGCTCATTCGAATGTTTCATTGTTCATACATATTCAAATGTTTCAGATGCTGAGGAACAGCTCGACAAAAATTAAGATCAAATTCCTACGATATGAGCAATCGAGTCAGTGCAAAACTACGAGAGACAGTAGCGTGAGTTATGCATCTGCAGCAGCAAAGGTGGATGCTTAAATATGTAACCGGTGTGAACTAACGCAATTTAAAAAACTCAGCTTCATTCGAATGTAATGTTGGACTTGCATTTGCAACACCCTTTATGCGGTGGGGTTCCTTGTTCATAGTTTGAGACACTAATAATGGCGTCACTTGTTTTCTTAAGTAACAGGTTTGCCTTCGACTTAATCAACTCAAATCATAAACCTGATTTGACCATAAAAGTCGATAATTTAATCAATTCAAACCTTAAACCAAATCCCAATTTGATCTGACTATAAAAGTAAAACAAATTGTAACTTGAATTTAAAGTAAACAGAAGAAGTGCAAATATCAGTGTTTCCCGTGGAAAATTGCAGCTATTACATTTAAGGAAGAAATACTACAATCGGAATCCGGTCAAACCTATTAAACAGAATCATGCTTCCTCCCAATAGTTAGGTACTTAACAGAGATTGCAGATTAACCTGTGTTCACCCTCTTAAATAAATCCTGTATATATACATCTTCTAAACCAATCCACTCGGCACTCTCGAAAGTACCTTATTGCTGCTGTATTCTGTATGGTAACGTTGCACTCAAACCTTGACTTCAATGCAATACTGATGAAAAGTTACCCATGTTCTCTTCTCAAGCCAAAGAACACACCTTATCTGAAAATTAGACAGTACAAGATACAGGATTTTAACATGAGCCGTGCAAGTTAGTAGCTCTCATACCATTTGATAAATAACTTTCGCAAAAGCATAAATACACAATTTTGGTATTGAACTTGGCTTCAAGGTGCAATTTGGTAACTAACCTTTTTTTCCCCAATTAAATACCTAAACTTGCTTCAAGGTTTAATTCGATATCTAAACCTTTTTCGGTCCAATTAGTACAGGAACTTGGCTTTTAGGTTCAAATTGGTACCTGAACTTGACTTCATTGTTCAATTTGATTCAAATAAGCCATTTACCATTACTATCTATTTGGACCAAAAAGTGAAGTTCAGGTACCAGATTGAACCAAAAAATAAGTCAAGTTCAGGTACAAATTGGACCCAAAAAAACTTTAGGTGCCAAATTGAACCTTAAATCCAAGTTTAGGTACCTAATTGGATCGAGAAAAAAAGTTTTAGGTACCAAATTGGACCTTGAAGCCAAATTAGGTATCAAACTATATATTTTACCTTTCACGGAAATTGAAGGCAGAATGCATGCCTCTAATAGCAAACTAGAGATCAAAGAGTAACGACATGGTTATTCTGATGATTAAAGTGATTTGTGTTTTGTCTTCATTTTTCTGAAATTGCAATTGTTGATCAAGCAAAAAAATCACAAGCATACGCACACAAGTGTGTGTGTGTATATATATATAATTTGTAACACATTTAAACAATAATATATTACAGAGGCAAGTTCACCTTGTTTAATGCTACCGCAGCAAAGACGATTATCATCTATATAAGTTGCTTGGACACCCATCATCCAAGATCCCACAGATGTATCATCAAAAGCATAAGTCTTCAAAGATGCACTGCATTTATTATAAGCTGAGGTAAAATTCAAATCCATTTAAGTCGCATCAAATGGAACCAAGGAATATTCATGGCACAATCTTTTTAAAATGAATCTTTGACTAGGTTCAACTTTGCATGTAAGGAAAGCGGTTTGGGATTGACAAATAAAGCAGATGTATTCGTTCATCAGCCATTCAGTTCCAGACAAATGCATACTCTGCACATGGACTGCCATACTCTAACATGACTAGAACCTCTTAAAACACACAAACCGCTTAATCAATAATCTCAAGACACCTTAGCCCATTTTCAGTTTCAGAACCTCATAGTAGTGTGTGTATATTGTTCTTTCAAAGTTATACATAAACAAATAACAACTAACCTGTTTACATCGATATACCGAACAAGATTTTTGGAGAGTATAAAAAGGGAACCAGTGGCATGTCGGAAATACCTGAACATAAGAATGCAAATAGAATTCTCATATAATTGGAAACTATTAAAGAGGATGGGACCTTCTTTCAAGTAAGATGACACTCAAACAGACCCATACACAATAGCCAAAAAAAGATGCAAAGTAATGTGGTTGTGCGTTTAAACACTTATGGATAACACATAGAAGTAAAAATAAGGTTGTGCAATCATCCACAAACTAGATAACTTACGATTTCTGATCCCCAAATTTCCACCAATCAGGTTCATACCAATCCTTTCCCCTGAAATCAACAAAATTTAAGTACTCAAAAGCTGAACTGAGAATCTTAGGATGTAAACAACTCAAGTTCAAAGTACCATTTAAAATAATGAATATATTCCCAGATCTAGTTAGGGAAAAGTAAACATAACCAAACATTGAAAAGCAAAAATGTCCAGACATGCTGCAATCAACAAAGTAACAGCTGTGACAGCGAAAAAAGGTACATAGTAGAATTTGATGTTCACATAGACGCATTATAAATATATTTAATTAGAGTATGGTTATTATTTTCTAGCATCTATAATGGGGATCTTTTCTTGAGAAGATTGAACATGTTAAAAGCAATTGAAGGGACTGGGAAACACATAAAGACCGCTATGCATGTATGTTAAGATCCATCTTGAGTAAACATACAATGGCAAACTACATATCAAAGATACATACACTTCAGAAAACACCTCTCCCGACTTCATGCATCCAATATAAGCACTGTCTTGACTGCGTCGGTGTTCAAGAAGTCCAATCAATCCCTCTGCCAAGTAGAAAAAAGATAATATATCAGAGTTCCGGTGAATAAACATACAAAAGCCAAGAGCCATAAAGTTGTGATATTCTATACAAATAAAAAAGGGTAGAAATCGCACCGAGGTCAATGTCAATTTTATCGTCAACTTTTACATAAAACTCAGCATCCCAATTTTGAACTGCAGTACTGAAGAAGAATTTTACTTTCTTTGGAAGCTCCTCTTGAGCCTCCTCATGACCCTCCTGATAAATCAACGAGGTAAGCATGATCATAATCTACATTTAAGCCAGTCAGGTTTCAAGAGGAACTGGAAAATTATATAAGACCCAAAGTTTTGCTTCCGATTACAGAGATATCGAGGCCTTCGCAAAAGCCAATTATAAAATTTGCAATCATATTCAAATTCAATCACTTACAAGAATCAAGAAATCCTTTGTCTTACGATTTTCCTCATCGATATTGCGATCCAAGCTATCACCTCGATTAGCGCTACCAATTCCAAAGTAGTTAATCCAATTTTTTATCCCAACAATTGCATCATTTTACAATATCAGATGAATGAAACCGGGCAAAGTAGACAAATAATTCATATAAAAAGCATAAGAATGAAAAGAAGGCAGAAGATTATGATATACCTCCGACCAATCACAAATCGTATCGCTACCCCTCTTTCCTCCAGTTTTTTTAGTGCATTGCCTGTCAAATCCAGACAAATGTGGTTAAGATGTGATTTCTTTAGCAATGTATATGTTCTAGCCATGCAACAGCATGTTAGTAGTCTAATAGAAATAATATCAGACATCAAGAATGAAAACACATACTAACCTCTAGGCATCCAAGATGCTCTAAATGTTTGTCGCGTCAAGTAGCTACCAAATCCTGTATAAACACCAATAACTACAAGAAGCTTTTTTTCTGAAAAAGACTCACTTGTTCGCAACTGGTTCTTGAGGTACCCTTGGCTCTTAGCTAAGGTCAAATCCATCTCTGCTTCTGCAATCCTCTTATCTAGATCCCTAAAGTTCAAGTTCATTATTAAGCAAGATGCAAAAAAGAAAAAAAAAGAAACAGTCGTATTACACCATAAAAAATTGTCAACAGGGGCATTAAGAATGATAATTGATGAACATACTTGCATCCTAGGACCATCATCTTATCTTCAACAGTAAGAACCTTTGGTCTCTGCAAATAGTTAAATAGACACATTAATTATTAAGATCTTAAATTACAGTTGATTAAGTTGTTTCAAAGTTGCAATAATCGAATACTAGGCACATTCTATTTTACAAAACAAATAGTAACCGAGGAAATAAGCTACAAGCATACAACCAGGAAATTTTTGTTTGGCTTCTGAGTTCTAACCTGTTCAAGGTTCTTCTTAAGAATATCAGAAAGCAATTTTCTGTTCTCTGTATCTTGCCACAACCTAATTTTCATCAAATTTTTGCAAAATAAATAATAATTAATTAATTACGATTAGTAAATTTGTTAGCTACGGAAACATTTTTCCACCCACAAAAATGCTAGGATGATTTACTGAAAGTAAATTTAGATTCTACAATCTTTTTCTTTTCTAAATGCAATCCGAAATGAATAAACAAATTCAACGAAGCGTAGTGGAAATAGCAACTGACAAACAAAGACGAAGGTAAAAAAACAACCTAATTTTCATCAAATTTTCGGGATTCGGGAAAAAAGTAAAATTCAGATTAATAAGTTTGTTAGCAACGATAATTGATTAAAAAGCAATAATTAAGAAAAATATTAGGCTGATTTAAATGAGTATAACTTTAGATTCTATGATCCTAATTTGTTTTCCTAAATACAATCCGAAATGACAAAAATAATCTACCGACTGGAGCAGTGGAATTAAATATTGAGAAGCAAAATTGAAGGCATAGAAATTACGAACCGGCCAGCGACATAAAGCCAAGCGACGCAAGATAAAAAAGCCATCAGCAAAGAAGGACTGGATGTCTGTATATTCTTCGATCTCCATCGTCTCTCTCCTTTCGTGGTAGTAGGCAACCCCTCCATTCCAAACTCTTAACGCAGATACAGAATCAAAACGGAGAATTAATCACGATCTCTAATATCTATTTTATAATTCCAGTAATTAAAAAGAACGGAGCGAGAAATTTGAGAATGAGAAATGAGTGTAGGGATTCAAATCAATGAAGATATGACGGAGAATCAGAGAGACAGAAGAAACAGACGAAAATTTGAAATGAAACTTAAAGGGGGGCAAAAGCCAGAGACCTAAGGAGAGCGGTAACTGACGAAGGGTCTTACGCGCCGAGCCCACTTAGATTCGGCCTACGCCTAGCTCGGACAATGCCATATATCAGATCAGGTTAAAAGAATTTGGATAATTATTGTACGCTAGTACGATTTCTCCCGCTTCGCAGGGGGAATGTTTTTTTCATTAATAAATACGATAAATAAAATATTCTTATTTAGAAGTAAATAAGAATATAATAAAAATAAAGTATAAGAATAATAATTATTCTATAAACCGTACTATATTTTTTTGAGTGGACTATAAAAACATATATTTATTATGATTGGAGTAGAATATCCTTAAAATTTGATTCATTAAACATATATAAAAATATTCTTAAATATATCAATTATAGGTAAAAAATTGTATTTTTAGTTTTAAACTTGATAATTTTTTTTTAAAATTTTATTTTTATCCATATTAGTACACGAGTTACTTTGATGATGTGACATTTTAAGGTTATACTAATGTAGATAATAAAAAAATCAAGTTAAAAGATCTTAAATACTGATTTGAATTTAGTAATAAATTTTAAAAAATTGATAAAAATTTAAATATATATAAATAATTTGAAGACGACGTGTCAAAAGAATACAATATAAATAGATTTTAAAAGGATTATAATATATCATATTCAAACGGTTCATAGAATCGAAACGTATATTTTAAATATGTTTCATAGAACAAATACTTATATTTACAACCTGCTTCATATATTTTAAATATGTTTCACGTGATGTTAAATTGGTAATAATCATTCCAATGAAAGAATTTGATTGATATAATAATCATGTTTTAAAATTTTAATTAGAATGTTTTAAATTTGGGAAACTAACTAAGAACTTGAACCATTGCTTGTGCAATTACTATAAAAATTTTGATGCAAGTATTGAAGTTTAAAAATTCAATTTCGAATCTTGACAATATGAATGAAATAAAATTAATTAAAAGAGTTATCCTCACAACAGATCTTTGCATTATTCGATCTAAATTAATGAATTGATAAATCAAATATAACGGTTATAAAAATATATAATTCCAAAACAATTTTATGTTCCTCAAAAGTTGATAACTCTCTAGCTCAAAGCTTGTGAAGCAAGGAATAGATGGTAAAACAAGTTAAAGTAGGAAAATGTGAAGGATTTATTAGTACAATAGGAATTTGAGATGGCTCAAAGTAAATCAAAGGATATCGTGGTCCATTGTTTTATCAGCCAAGCAATGACTATTGGGGAAGTGCAGAATAGCATCCAAGCTTGAGTTTTGAACCATCCCTTCGGTTCTGCCAACCATAGAGTTTATGGTTCCTGATCAAATCACTTAATTCCTCGCACCTCTAGGTAGCGAAGTAGACAAAGAAGGAGCCCCTTGGCCTCTCATTTCCTCGTGAGCTCCTCTCATTTCTTCGGGATCTGTTGGAACAAATAATATGTTGAAAATAAAATTAGTAAAAACCGACATTTCAAGCTACCCTTTGAGAAGGGTAGTTTTTTACTGTGTTGCTCGAATTCAGGTGGGAGTGTCAGATATGAATGAATATGTATCTAATACGATATAATTAGACTTTTCTAAGATTTTATATATAGTTGGAGATCCTTAGAGATCATATTCATGTGTCTAACGCAATATTGACACAAGTACTTCAAGAATGATATATATACAACTCAACTAATGATAGAGTACTTTACCCATGTTTTCCACGAATTTGGGCATCAAAAATGCAACAACCAGCATAAATCCCAACATGAGACCCATTGGACTTTTCAGAAGAGACATTACGGAGAAAGGTTCCCTAACCTGCAACATAAACATAAATCTGAGGCAAAACCATAGATAACAACTTAAAAACAAAAGGAAACATAAACATAAATACCAAAAGCTTACTCAACCTCGTAATACTGTTCCTCTCTCAATGGCTCTAAAACCAATTCGTTGAGACCCCTCCTGTTCTCTGTCAAAGCTGCATGCACCTTGCCCGGGTTTCTAGCACTAACATCGACTCGAACCTAAGCAAGTTTAAAATGAACCAATGTTAAAGGGGAAAATGAAAAACACAACAATAACTACTTGATGGAAAGTCAAGAGTCTGGTAAGAAATAAAATGCTTACTGGAGAAAAGAAATAGCCCATGACAACCACTTCAATCAAATGAGTCCCTGATGGTACATTGTAACTATAGGCATTTATATTAAGGAAGAATACACCACAGTATGATACGACATCTCCTATGAAGACATATTTTAGAAGGAAATAAAATAAAACAAAGTCACTGGAAGCTCACGTGGGTTAAGAGTTAACAATGAAGAAGCTAAAGGTCTCTATTAGTTGTCTGAGGATTCAGATGTGTTAGAGGATTGTTAGGGCACTTTTGCATTTTCAGCACATTTCAGTATTACTTCCTCTACCTGCACTACTTTGTTATTTTTGCTAAGCTTTAGGAGTCTTCGGTTTAAATATTTGATTATTTATTTTATTTTAAACAGAGTAGATGAGTGTTTAAGATCATTGCACTCGGTTTGTAAATAAATTGCATTTAATCTAATCAAATTCTGAAGTTCCTATCAGTTTGGTACCAGAGCAGGTTGATCCATTATGGCCATCACATATTTATCTGCTAAACCGCTTATGCTCAAAATCCCACAACAAGACTCCTTTCACCTAATACTGATTCCATAACCACTCAACTTGCTTCCATTGCAGCCAACAAGCAAAATATGAAGCATTAGCGCCTGCTAGCCTCTTGCAACCAATACCTATACCTGCTTAAACATGGGAAGACATTTCATCGGATTTTATTTTTTGATTTCCTCAATCTGGTGGCTATGACATTATATCGGTGGTCGTGGCTCGATTCAGCAAATATTCTCATTTTATTCCTCTCTAACCTTTATACTGCCAAATCTGTTGCTGAAGTTTTTTGCAGGGAAATAGTGAGGCTCAATGGTTCCCCAAAATTAATTATATTAGACTGTTATGTTGTTTTCCTCAGTGCTTTTCCGAAAGAAATTTTTCGGCTAAGCAACACCAAGCTTTGGATGGTACTGCCTACCATCCCGAATCTGACTGCCAAATGGAAGTGATTAACAGGTGCCTCAAAACTTACCTCAGATGTTTTGCTCAAGAGCAGCCACGAACTTGGAGTCATGACTTATCCTGTTCTCCTTTAATACTGGTTACCATTCCTCCACCGGCATCACCCTTTAAGTTAGTATATGGACGGGACCCTCCTGCTATCTCTCTATCCGTCCTGGTGAAACTTGCATTGCAACCCTTGAACATCAGCTCCTTGAACGTTATGCTACGCTAAGAAGAAGATTTTAAAAGACAACCTCCTCAAAGCTCAAAATCTCCTTTTAGATTGGCGATTGTCTTCCTTCATTTACAACCTTACCGCCAGCAATCTCTAGCACATCGAAAGTATGTCAAGCTTTCCCATCGTTTCTTTGGGCCTTACAAAGTTGTTCGGCAAGTTGAACCGGTTGCATATGAGCTTGAGTTACCCGAGACTTCAAAAGTCCATCCCATTTTCCATGTTTCATTGTTGTGTCCTGCTCGTGGACTACAAAACACCTGCTGCTCCTGCACCTCTGCCCATCGATGCCGAATGGGTGCTAATACTCTTTCTTCAAAAAATACATTGGGTTTTCTTGTATTGGAGTCTGGTACTATCCATAAGGACTGAATTGGTTGAGTGTTTAAGATTTTTGCACTCAGTCTGTAAATAAATTGTATTTCATCTATTCAAATTCTGAGGTTCCTATCACATCATCTAGTTATGTAAAAACTGCATTGAAAGGGAAAGGAACCAAAAAAAAGTCAATAACTAAAACATATGGGATTTCAATCAGCGATGTGCACAAGAAGAGATAAACGATAGGATACAATGAAAAATATCCATCATGTCTCACGTAAGTAACGTTTTGGCCACCATTGAGTATAACTTTGACATTTGACATTCTACCGGGCAAAGCAAACCCTTTTGTAGCGAAACCTACAGAATAAAGTCATCAGTTAACAGTTGCAACATTACAGAAACAAATAGAAAGGGAAACATGCAAAGCCATATCGTGCTATTCCGGAGACAAACAATGCCTCGGTGGAGAAAGATTTTATATTATCTCACTAAATCTAATTAAAATACATAAAGGGCAATAAAAAATAACATGGGACAACAGAGATCTTGGCATAAGCCTTACCTAAACAACCCTAACTAGAAAGGAAAAAGACAATGAGACTTTATCGGATCTAAAAATTTTGAGATCTTAAATTCAAGTTTCCACTTATATATGTTTTCTTCATATTTATTCTTGCTTAAGTCTCACTATATGTGAGCTTAATATAAATTTATTCTAATTTAGGACCGGATATATTTCGTTTATCAATTTTATTATTCGTTGTAATAGTTGATTCTGATTATAGTTATCCGAATTATATTGATTGCACAAAACATTTTAACTTGAAAAATACTGTAGAATAGAATGCAAGTGTAACAAAAATCAGAACAGAGAAAATTACAATATAATCGTATAAGTTTGCATAAAATGGGTACAAATTAGTCATATGTAAGAACTTTAAAAACAAGGTGACGCAATACCTTGGGGAATCTTCACTCTACCATTGATAGTGAACCCATTTCGAGACCTTAATTGCAAAACCAGAAATTTGAACAAGTGGTTAAACGAAACGTAATGAAAAACGGGAGAAGAACTAAAGTAAAAAATGAAACACAAAACATGATGCCATGATCAATGTTCTAGTAAAAAAAATTCTAAAGTTCTGCAATAATTCAATCAACTTTACTTATTTTCAGCGATGAAATAGAGAATTGGTAGCATCATAGAGAAGGCAATGCAGATAAGTTAGTACCCCAATGAAAACAACGGTGCGGTAAAGAGAAACGCGAACAAAAGCAGTCGTACGATCGCTGCCATGGCAGCTCAGATTTGAGAGCTTCAACAGTTGATGAAAATTAGATGGAATTTGTTGAATGCCTTTGTAATTTTAGGCCGAATACCGGATCCGCGCCTTCTTGACTTTTTCACACTCGAACATAACGACCATTGGTTCATGAGTTGGGCTTTTTATTTTAAATGAATTTTTAAAATAGTAATTAAAAATCAAAATTAATATTTATAAAATTTTAAATATTTATAGTATATAATATTAAGTATACGTCTGAGTTAGTAACATGAGTTATAACATTATTATTAGAGACGCATTTAAAAAAAATAAATTCTTATATATTTTAGATTTTTTTATATTTTCTATTGAAAATATGTTTTTGTCCTTTAAAAATTTATAAGTTCATCTCCTTAACATGAAATCCTACCATGATCTTATTTTTGTTATGATAAAATTTAATTTTCTATTATAGATAAAAAAATAATTATTTAGTATGGATCTCAATACTTAATGTTAATTAAGATTAAGATGTACCTTACAAATATATCAGATTTTATCGACGATGAAATTTAATTTATTAATAAACCTAATATTAAATTAATGTTATGAATTAACCAAATGATAATTAAATTAAAAAGTCATTAACAATTTTTTATTTTAAATAATAATTAGCTTTCATACTTTATATAAATTATTATTTCATTTGTATAAAAATTATTTATCACTATGTTTATTATTTTTTAATAAATACTTTGTTATGAATAAAATTTTGAAATAAAATTTTTCATTCATATCACTTTTTTATAAAGAAAATTATTGTCATATATCTTGTAGGATATGTGGAGCCTTTGATTGTTTTGCACTTTATTTTATACTGCAGGGATCCCGAAACAATTTAACCAAGCTAAAATAGGTGTAATGATTATTGACATTTACAGCGCAACTACAAAGCTGGCTCCTAACTTACGCTAAACAACGTCACTACCTGCTATCTTACGCTTCCTAAGTTATTTAAGCATTTAAAAAATATTTATAGCAAAAATATTTTTATTTATAGCAAAAATATTTATGGAGCACAAATGAAATTATCTTAGTGATTAAAGGATTATGTTATCTCTTTTTGTTTTAGGTTCGAGTATAACATCTATAGGGGTGTATGAACATCTATTGTCAAATAATCTTTCAAACATATATTACATTATATTCACTCATGTTAATTAAAAATGGATAAAGTATATAAATGATCTCTCGATATAAGGTATTATTTTGTTGAATAATTCGACTATTAAAAATTATAAATGATTCCACGATATAGAATATTGTTTTGTTAAGACTCCCGACTATTAAAAGCTACAAAATGGTCACTCGACTATTCATATATTTTAAACTTATCCTTTTTGTTATAAATTGACGACCGTCTGATTTGGTCATTAATATGTTGATCGGGATATGATAAAATCATACTTTAATGATGCCTATTGACATCGTCGTTGCTTACTTATCTCGAATGTATTATGTAAACAGAGAGTCAATCTATAAAATACAACTCAAATGATTTGGGGATTAGTTTTTATCATTTCAAAGTTAACAAGTTTACGCCTGACTCAGACAACCACAATTTTTTTAATGAAAAAAATGAGTTTGAAACATACAAATAGTTTGATGACCATTTGTAACTTTAATAGTCAATGGACTCAACAAAGTAAGCCCTATAATCAATGAACTATTTTATAATTTTTAATAGTTAGGGGACTCAATAAAACAACATCCTATAGTCTAGGAATCATATATATATATAATAGAGAGAGAGAGAGAGAGAGAGAGAGAGAGAGAGAGAGAGAGAGAGAGAGAGAGAGAGAGAGAGAGAGAGAGAGGCCTATGTAAAAATAAGTGTTCAAACTATTCTCAAATTTAACTTTAAGTATCTAAAGAATTTTTTGTTAAAAATATGTGCCTAACATTTTCTTTGTTATATTTTTAGGTATTTAACGTTTTCTGATGTTATATTTTTAGGTGCCTAAAATGTAACGACTGTTAAGAAAAATTGTTATTTAACACGTGTTAGACATATAAAATTTTGAAATAAACACTTAAAATTAAAATTTATTTGTTTAAAACTCAATATTTTCTAAAATTATAAAAAGAAAATCAAAATATCGAAAAATCTTATTTTCAATCTCTTACCACCATTGGTTGCCACCAACCAAACCCCCATGTTTCAAGCGCTGATTGCAGCAAAAATCAGTGATTGTAGTGTGGAGAATCCCTTTCAACCGATCGCAAAATCTTATATTTACACATTCGTTTGGTGTTCGACCGATTGTGAAAATAAAGAGTTTCGATCATTTGATGGTTGTCCAGTCGAACAATGTTAACTGTTCGATCGGTTGACGGAGTTGGTAATGACCGACGGTGCAAAGGATTAAAATTAAGGTTTTAAGAGATTTTGATTTTTTTTTGGTAATTTTATAAAATTTTTAGGTTTTTTAAATAAATTATAATTTAAGATTTTAAATTTAAAAATTAAAATTTTATAAATATAACATATATTATTTAACAATCAAATTTAACGACTGTTATTATTTAAAGACTAAAATATAACATTCAACGAAAAATTATTTAGTAGCCTAAAATTAATTTTAGATATAATTTAAACTCTTATTATTATATTAATCATAGGAAAAATAAAACAACGAAATCGTCAAAAAAGAAAACAGTATCATATAAGAACCGTCAACAACTACCCGCCAGATAAATTCCACTTCCCCTCTCTCTACGCAACATTTTTACAGGTAAATTTTGTCGATTACATACATTTACACTTTGTCTTTCCATATAAATCTGTAATCCCAACTCGTTCTAGCGTTCGCGATTCTCTCTTTCTTCCTGATAATGTTGTGGTGGCCTTTGAGGAAGTAAGCTTTGCTCAACAGAATTTGATTTCTCGTAGTGTTTGAAATTCTGGGTATGTTTAATAGAGACGGTTCAGCCTAGGTACCGCATCCATTTTGAGTTTCACCTCACTTTGTTTACTTCGATCTTGAAGTTCCATTCATTGCTGTGATTCTTCGAAAATCTGGGGAAGAAAATTTAGTCTAGATCTGAAACCTGCTCTCATTAACCATTTTCCTGATTCTTTTTGTTGATAAATATAGTTTAGGTGAGAAATAATATATGATACATTAGCACCTTGATAACATAACTTGTTTTTTTTATTGATGCAAATTGGTGTTGTTTCAGAACTTGATTTATGAACACAAAACATTGGCGCTGATGCCTTCCGGGTTGCAGTTCACATTGTTTGAACTTTTATTCAAATTGTTTCTTATCTTAGCTATCGTGGAAAAGGGAAGTGCGGGGATTACAAGTACTTTCACTCGTTCGAAATGGAATCTTTTGATATCCCTCTTGACCATAAAGTTTTTGAAGTTCCTAAAGGCTACAATGCTCCACAACAGGCAAGTATTTTGTCAATCAGTAATCTCATTACTGTAGCTATTTATTTTCTTTTCCAATCCGGATTATATGACGATGCAACAATTCATTGCCGATCCAAACCCAAGTCGGCTTCATGCTGAGCCAATTTAGATGCTCGTTTTTCGCACATCTTGGTTGTATGAATGAGGGTTACATTTATGATATGATGATTAATGAGGTCTTATCACAATGAAAAACGCTAAATTTGTTTTAAATTCCATGGAAAAGACAGTCTAGAGTACAGTTTTGCCAAATCCATTGAAAATTTTCCTCTTGAAGATGATTTGTTACCAGTACTATCTGGTTAAGGCCATTTATTGATATTTGAATTACAGCTCCGATAATTGGCTTTGGTAAGCAGTTGTTTTAACATCCATAAATTTATTGGCGTAGGTGCATATTACTCAAGGTGACTATGATGGAAAAGCTGTGATAATATCATGGGTTACCCCTGATAAACCTGGGCCTTCCAGAGTACAATATGGCACATCAGAGAAGAAATATGACTTTATTGCTGACGGCACGGTGACTAATTACACCTTTTACAACTATAAATCTGGCTATATTCATCACTGCCTTGTTGATGGTCTAGAGGTAAATATCAAACAACATATGTTAATCTATTATCTATAGCATGAATGTCAAACTAGATAGATGATGTAACCTAAAGCATGAATTCTCGAATAGTCATCTAATAATTCTACCTGAAACTGGAGCTTCTGCAATATGCTAACAAATCTAACATACAGATGATTTCATGTTATGAAGTTGCCCCTGATAGTTAGATCCAATCTTTCTGTGTATTCATTCAATTGATATTTCAACTTAGACAAAGACAACTAACATTCTCATTTTTTTAGTACGAGATCAAGTACTATTACAAGATCGGTGAAGGTGATTCATCTCGAGAATTTTGGTTTCAAACACCTCCAAAGATTGACCCGGATTCTCCTTTTACATTTGGAATTATTGGTAAGATGTCATTAGAATATTAATCTACATAGTAATGAATAATCTTGTTTCTTAAAGCTCAAATAGAAAAAATGATTTTTATTTGTATATTCCAGATGGTTTCCTTTGAGAATCCAAAAAGAAAAAAAAAGAATAGACAAGTTGCAAAACAATTACTTCCTGAATTTTTCTCATCCTGATTGGTTTTGTATGTTATAGGTGATTTGGGTCAAACATATAATTCTCTTTCAACTCTGGATCATTACATGCAGAGTGGAGGACAGACTGTCTTATTTCTTGGTGATCTCTCTTATGCTGATAGATACCAATTAAATGATGTTAGTATTCGATGGGATTCATGGGGTCGTTTTATTGAGAGAAGTGCTGCTTATCAACCATGGATATGGTCAGCTGGGAATCGTGAGATAGAATATATGCCAGATGTGGTAATGCCTCAGTTCTGCATCTTGAATTTCTTATACACACACGTCTTTTTCCTTTTATTATAGCTTCTATTTTACGTTAAGAACTAAAGATATAATGATTGTGTGTGGCATTAATACCTTTGAGGTATTGTGACTTCAAATCTTCCTTAAGCCCTTTCCTGATATTTGAGGTATAATAACTGGATTCTTTACCACTA